CCAGGAGTATTGTCTTCGATTCCGGGAATTTAAGGAACACACTTGTTCTGTTGTCTGACACAACTCACTACGTATACAAGTCGCCTAGCTATGGCGCAAGACGTTTCCAGAAAAAATGTAGATCTTGAGGTGGGAGGAGGTGCTGAAGACGTTAACAGTCCTCCGCCAGATACTTCGAAGAGAACAGATGAGAATGATAGTGAACAAGAGAGCATTCTTGCCTACAAACTTCTCCAGGCCCTCGCGAAAAACGATGCTTCCGAAGTGCGGAAGCTTCTGGAAGAGGACCATTATACGGTCAGGAAGAAATATGGAAAGTTCCGAGATGACTGTGAGGAACTCAAGAAGAAAGCGGAAAAGAGGGAAGAGAGAGGATTTCACTACGATTTCAGGTGTAGTTGTGGTTCGAACTCTTCGAAACAGTCCAGCGACGAGCAGAACCTTAACTGGATAAAAATTCTTTCCAATCCTATGTTCATTGCTTTGGAATGGCAATGGAGAACAAACTCTGACTCTGAGTGTCAGTGTCAGTGTGCTTTTTGCAAGTATGACAAGAGATTGGATGAAAATGAGAAGAAAAAGAAGGAGGATGTCATAGATAGTTCCCTACTTGATGCATATCTACTAAGTGAAATGTCGTCTTTCAAGCGTTACGATAGCCGAGATGTTTACAAAAAATCCGCAGAGGGTTACGAAACGTTTGCTACTGACGTGCTAGAAGAGGCCTCCCAGAGCGAACTTTACAAGATCATGGATGTAAAGGGAGAAGGTTGCCTACTGGAAGAAAACCCTCTACTGGAAGAAAACCCTCTACAGGAAGAAAACCCTCCTAAACACAGGAATTATATTGAAAGTCTGAGCTTCCTCAAGAGTGCAGTAAATAAAACAAGGAAGAAGGTATGTGCGCCTTGGTGATATTACGTGTGTAATAAAGTACCTGATTGGTAATAAATATTAATGATTAAGACTAATAGAGAGATATGCGACGGTTTTTCTATCCAGAGATTTAATATTCTTTCTGGAGCCAATCGAAATATTTGTTTTTCACTACCTTGGATTTTTCCATTTGTAATGAAAAGTACGGTGGCCCACAACTGTCACGGCAAAACAAAAAGTCACGGCAATACAAACTTTACTCACNAACTGACAATTTTACTTCCATAATTTTATGAATTAATACTGTTAAAAGAAATGTAAGGAGCTTTACTTGAGTTGTTGAGTGGATAGATGAAAAAAGACTCACGCCCATGTAATCGCACAGATAGAAAAGCATTAGACGCTAAGTAAACTTGACATAAGAAAGTGAGAAAATATCTCATTTTTTCCATCATTCACAACTTTTCAGGCACGAGACAACTTTTATTGGCTTATTCTGGTTTCTGGTTGGCTTCGTGGAAGAAGACAAAATACATGTTGATGACCATACCTTTTACCTTACACAACTCTTTGGTCGCTTGGGTTTCATTATCTACCTGATTTGTACCACTATTGTTGCTTTAAACATGCTGATCGCCATGATGAATAACTCCTTTGACAGAGTCATGGTAGGTGTCAAATTTTCAAGTTTGTGACAGATTTTGACTTGATGTAATGACTCAACGTATGCTCTTTGTTAGCTGGCTTTTCAAAGCAAATTTTCTATCTTGGTCAGTGATGTGAATCACGTCGATCACCAAACTATGATGGGTCTGCGCCATAACTCGTGTGGATTCGAGTAATTAGAGCCCACCTTCGCAGAAATCACCAAATTCCACTCAGATAACTTAGTTTACCTACTTAATTTGATCTCGGATAATTAAGCTCAAACTTTTATTTACCAAACTTAGTGGAAATTTATGTGAGAGCTAAAACATGCTATAGATTTTAATTTAGAACCTGAAATTTTGCCTCCAGAGTGATGAAGACAAAGAGTGGAAGTTTTCAAGGACTCAAATGTGGCTAGAGTATATCGACAAAGGAAATGCAATACCTGCACCTTTAAACATCATTTACTATGTCGTTTACGTCTTGATAGTCGTACCATTCCGAATTATATAAATCGTTTGCTGGATTGCATAGGTATGCTGTGGATGCAAATGTAAGGTAAGTGTAAGCAGGAGCCCATTACCCGGAGCTTCCATCCTCCATACTGACCCTCTTAGCCAACCCTGTCTCGTATCTTTCTATTTTTTTCAGAAGCACCTCCCACGGCGGTTTTCGCGGGTGTTTTTATAATAGCCAATCATAAGAGAACTGTCGTCTCTATTGCGTTACATCTCTATTGTGTCACTCGCAGGCCGCTCGAAATTATTTTAATAATGGCGGAAAGTGCGGAAATATTAAAGAACCACCGCAAATATCTCAGTTCTAAAAATAAAAAGATACGGGACAGGGTTGACTCAAGGGTACGACTGAGATGGAAGCTCCGGGTAGTGGGCTCCTGGTGTAAGCGATTGTCGTTTTTTTGGAATAATTGCAAAATCCTTTTAGTACGGTCCAGGTAGTACCTGCATTATGATTCTGAGGAAAAGGGTTGGGAGATATCAATTCCGTTTGCTTTATCTCACCCGCTGGGATGAAACACCTTTTGAAATGAGCTGATCTCGTCTTCTTCCCTCTTCCCTTTTTATGGCTTCAACATTACATCGACACATTTTAGTTCTGAGAACCTGAACGAGCCTAAACCGGAAGTTATACGCACTAAGTCATCCACATAAAGATAAAAAACAGTTTGGGATCTCTTTCGATTGGTTTCCACCAACTGGACTAAGGCTCCGACGAAGGGCTAACGCTCGAAACGTCAGCTTTTGTAATCGTTGCGGTGGCCAATTTACCATTTCAACCTTGTTGATATATCCAAATTAGAAGGCTTGACATTAAACTGCTTTTATGTATTCATAGCCTTAGCACATAAACCTGTCCACTTCCTTTAGAAATTACCCCGTAACCTCATCCGCACGTTGTGCTCCTTTACTTGTCGGCTTTTTTGGACCACACCCAGATTCAGAAGAGAAGTTTGCAACTGTTCTTGTTTCAAGTATGCAATGAGATGTAATTTCAAAGTTTTAGAAAAAATAATGTTTCATCATCATGACAGAATTACGGACTGTCGGAGCTTTAACCCTAAAGTAGCAATCGTTTCCCGTCTGATACTGGTTAATTAAGCCTGACGATCAGAAAATCAGAAAATCAGAAAATCTTACGCTCGGGCTTTTAATAGAAAGCGGTTTGAAGAACTTTAAGATACAATCCTCATAGAATCGGAAAAACTTCTTAACAATACACATTACCAGCAGATATACCAGAAAGTGGGTTCACTAGGTTTTAAATATAATTTTTTTTATTGTCGTTGTGGACACCGAAAAAATTCTCAGCATCCATAAGAATACATGTTTTCATAACCCGATGATCGAGCCGTTCCGGAACTCTTTAAATGAAATAACATGTGAAAGTATGCTATGAAATTTGTTTGCAAAGCCCCGACGTCCATTTTTCATCCAGAATCAGATCGCGACAAGCTTTAAAAATCTTGTTTTAATCTTCACTTCTGCAACGTCAGTCGACCAAGCAATATCCCAAACGAGCTCTCAGTGTTAGAGAATTTAATAACAGACTAACATTGATGAGTTCTCTTCTGATGATAATTGTCGTGTTCTACTCAAGATGTTTGGCGTTTCTTCATTGAAATGAAAACAAATGGTATTCATTGCCCTTTTTAACTTTGTACAGCGGAAAGAGACTGGGGTGTTCACAACTTCTGTCACTCATTGCGGAAGTCTGTCTCACCCGCTATTCTATTTGTAAATGTGTGAGAATGCTAGTGCTGCTTGATCTTAGTAAAGCTATTGCACTCGAAATTATTTTTACAG